ATAACCTGTTCTGCAGTAAAGCTCTAGGCCAATAATTCACTCATTTATTCTTCTCATCCAAATACACATTTTAAAAATTCACTTCATACACCCTTTTACTGAGTAAAATAATATTAAGTGCCTACCGCGTGTAAGGCACTGTGCCACTTGGGACCTAAAAAGACAAATACAACAGGGTTCCCAGGGCCTTCTCTTGCTTTGGAGACTCTTGCAGCAAAGTGTTCATAGGTTGGTACTGGGAGGAAAGAACGCACAAGGGCAGCAGAACAGAGTACTCCCTGAGTCACTTCTGTGTCAGAGAGGAAGCGGCCCCGTATAGAGGAGGAAACTGAGGGTCATCTCTGCATCACCTCGCAGCCTAGACCAGAGGCTCCAGAGCACCCCAGTGCCCGAGGGACGAGGCCTGCCCTGTGGTGGGTGTTAACCACTGAGGAGTGCCGGTGGAATGCACAGAGGGCCCCTCCCATATGGACGTGCAATTTGGTACCTGACTCTGGTCATACCCCAAGCACATCGGGAAGCTTTTTCCCTCTCTAAATGAGCTCCCCTCCACCCCCCACCATGAATCCTTCCATGGCAAATAAAAAGGAGCACAGATGGGAGATGGGTAAGGCTTTCAGGATCCTTGAGCAGCCCTTGAGCAGCCCTTGAGCAGGGAGCAGGGGAAAGTGAAAGAGACTGCTTTACCCCAACCTCAGTAGCATCGGTAACCACTGAAACCTCCTTCCTAGGGTCCAGAAGTCACTGGTACATAAAGCAAAGACACAGCCCAATTATTGTTCATAATTTCTTATGTTAGTGAACAATCTTGGTGTTTACCTATCACTTCCTCATCTTTTATCTCGGTAATCACAACAATCCCACCAGACAACTTGTATTCTACTCATTTTCTCCATGAGGATTGAGTAGACACTGAGTGGCATTGCCCACAGTTACACAGTAAGGACTGGGCAAGACTGAGTTTGAACCTTGGCTTTCTAACATCAAGTCTGGGATGCTCACCGTTAGACCACAGCCAGTAGATCACACTGTGAGCTGCTAGAAACCTGCACTTGGCCCCCTAACTGCCACACCTCTTGACATTTGTGGCTGTTGGGAGGATGTAATAAATATTTTAGGTCTTCTAGACACCAACCTTGTCTAACTACAGGTGGCCATGGAGAGTCTATGAAATGCTGACTCTCACATTAACCTGCAGGTTGGCACATCTTACTTCTAAAATTTTGCTACCAAAGGGTGGTGGGAGAACTTCAGGTCTGACATCTAGACAGGTTTTCTAGAACAACTTACAGATGCAGCCTTGGATTTAGGGAAAATATGCAAAAAATAGTGCAGTGTTGAGGGGTTAAAGGAGGCAAAAACTTAGGTGAGTGAAGAGAGGCCTAGTGATTCTGACCTTTGCAAAGACAAGATCATCTGAGCAGGAAAATATAGCATCTACTCTCTCCACTCTCGGATAGGCAAGACAACAACCCAGGTGTTTCTTTTCCTTCTGAAAGTGTCAGCCACATGGCAGATCTTTACAATCTGCCCTGGTAAGTGAATGATCTGGAGCTGGGCAGATCTGGGGTTGAGTCTCAGCTTTTGCATATTCTAGCAACATGGCCTTGGGCAAAGCAGTTAATCTCTTTCAGTCTCTCTCTTTTTTTTTTTTTTTTTTTTTTTTGGCATCTGCTAAATGGCAAGAAAACAGCTTCTCCACTAGATCCTCCAGGGGAGAATCAGCTCAGCTGATACCTAGATTTTAGCCACTGGGACTCATTTTGTGCTTCTGACCCCCAGAACTGTAAGATGAAACCTGTATTCTTTGAGGTCACTAAGTCTTTGGTAATTTGTTACAACAGCAACAAGAAACAAACACAGATTTTGGTAAAAACCCCCATCTCTCAGGTCTGCTGAGAGGATGAACATAGAGTGCCAGAATGTGCTGAGGATATCATTAAGTGATCGCAACATGACAGATTTCACCATCACTTTGTTCTTTTGTGCCATTATCTAAGTGACTAAGCACCGCTGAAGGAAAACAGAACTCGTAGTGGAAAAGGAGAAACATCTAGCGGGCAGCAAACTGAGGGCATTCCCTGCCCACCCACACCTCCTGCCTTCCTCAATCAGTCTCCGGCCGGGCTGCCTCCCTGCCATCTCCTGCCTCATGCTTGTCTCAATTTCTTCACTTCACTCTCCTTTTCCTCAAACCGAGCTCCCACCTGCCTCCTTCCCTCCTTTCTCCCACTCCGGTCTGCACTTTCCCACCCTAATTTTTTTTTCCACCCTCATTTTGACTTGCAATTCTCCCACAAAGCATTCCTGGGTCTCTTCCCCTTCTTGAAAACTCTGTGTGGCAGACCTGTCTTTGGGACCTTGTGGGATATATTTAGGCCACTGGGGCCAGGTCCTTTGTTCAGGGTCCCATCAGCTCCCTGCTTTCTTTGGAGACCTACCTGCCTCTTCCCTTTTCCCCATAGCTCTACTTTCCTCCTTTATTCTATGGGGGTACAGTCATTTTTGCTTTGAATCCACATTGCTGTCATCACACTTTAAATTCCTTAAAGGAACAAATTGCCTTCTTTCTGTTCTTTAAGCCCAACTAATACCACAACTCAGTTGCCCCTGCAGATGGGTGCTGGGTGCTCACGAGGCTGCTTCCAGCCTCTCCGGACACTTACCCTCTACTCTCTATATGTACCTGCGTTGCCTGAACTTCCACATTTTACCGTCTGTTTATCTGTGCCTAGTTTAGGTGGTAACCCAACTGGTCAGGAGCAGTATCTGCACATTCCAGGGAGAGACTTCATAACATGCTGAGCCGGCTACGTGAGTGAGGCTCCCCTCTGTGGAGGTTGTGCATTAACTCCAGACTCTGGCTCCACTCTGTCTAGTGGGCAATTGTCTCAGGGAAGAAATGACATTTCTAAGCCTGAAATGACATTTCCAACCATAAAGAAATGAATGGCATTTCTAATCAGAAGCTACGCACAGCAATCTTGTAACAATGGCCCCGTTTCTTCCATTCACTCAGCTAATACTGATGACACTGGTGATATCCACCGTGGGCCCCACTCATAAATTTCAGCTCCTTCAGTTTCTACCACTAGCCAATGAACGGGTTCAGTTCAGTTCAGTTCAGTCGCTCAGTCGTGTCTGACTCTGCGATCCCATGAATTGCAGCACACCAGGCCTCCCTGTCCATCACCAACTCCCGGAGTCCACTCAAACCCATGTCCATCGAGTCGGTGATGCCATCCAACCATCTCATCCTCTGTCGTCCCCTTCTCCTCCTGCCCCCAATCCCTCCCAGCATCAGGGTCTTTTCCAATGAGTCAATTCTTCACATGAGGTGCCCAAAGTACTGGAGTTTCAGCTTCAACATCAGTCCTTCCAATGAACACCCAGGACTGATCTCCTTTAGGATGGACTGGTTGGATCTCCTTGCAGTCCAAGGGACTCTCAAGAGTCTTCTCCAACACCATAGTTCAAAAGCATCAATTTTTCTGCTCCCAGCTTTCTTCACAGTCCAACCAGTAGGGGGAAATATTTAGAGATGTTTAAGATTACTTGTAAGGTTGTAAATACTTACATTAGAGTGTAACAAAGAAGTTACAATTTAGCAAGGTCTGAGTCAAATAGAAGGCTTGCTTCCCAGGATTCACTACACACACCAGGACTTCAGCCAAACTGGCTCATTTGTTATCTCCTGGGCTCTTCACTCTTCTAAGGCTCTACTCCCTGATCTTTCCTTTCCTTTTACCTGGAATGTCACCCCCACTTTCCTCCCACACCCACCCACATCTATTTGATGCATGGAAACCACACTGACCCTGCGAGCATTATCTCTTCCCTCCTCAAAACTGATGTTCTTAAGATCTTATTACATGCGTTATAATGATTTGGGAGCACGGCTTCCCTACTAAAGCCCGAAACTCTAGAATGCATCAATCTCCTTTATGTATCTTAGTATACCTCAAAATGCAAGTTGTGTCATAAAATACATTTTGATTTAGAGCCTGAGTGCATGAAGTGGATAGTTAATTAATTTAATGAACAAAACACGGAGAGGTGTGGATAGCTATAATTCCAGTGTAAAAGCCAAAATAAATCACCCAAACACTTACCCTGCATTCCTTCCAGAGAATCCTCATGGAGGGAGAGACCCATTTTTTAAAGTGTCGGACACAGCATTAAACCTCGTAAATACTTTCTGCGAGCCACATGGGGCTGAGAAGAAGCACTTGGGCTCTGGAGTCACGTAGACCAAGCCTCCAGCCCAGCTCTTCCATTTACTGGCTGTGAGACCCCCAGGGAACTTAATTTACCAATTTAAGCTTGTGTTTCTTCATCTGCAAAATGGAGCCTCCTCACCTTTTTTCTTTTTCTACCTAATTGGGTTATGAAAATCACATATGTGTATGTCAAGTCCCTAGTAGAGTAGCACATAGAAGGAACGGTTAGCCCTTCTTTCTCCCACCGCCCCCCGCTCAACATGACAGAGTATTTATAATTTGCCAGCTATATTTGAAGATAATAAGACCTCCTGAAAATAATGGTTTTTAACAGCTGCCCAGAGTCTAAATGGGAACCAGGTGCCCACTCCACCCACATGTTTTTCCTCTGGGCTTCAGTTTGCCGTGAGCAAGGGCAGGAAGAACAATACCAAGGACCTCAGGGTGCTTCGTCACCTCCTCAGGTCTGTCCTGGGTGACTTTGGGCCTCAGTTCATCACTCAGAAGGATGCGGTCTGTATGTTGCACATCTTAAAGAACTCCTAAAAGTTGATAATCAGACTCAAACTGGCTTTACCTTTTTTTTCTGCTTTATGAAATTACAGTGATTACTGAACGTAGTAATGAAACATCCTCCATTGCTAAATGACCGCCTGGCTTAGTTTGGATGCTTCAGAACACAAGGAGGCACGATGGTGTGAGTTAGTTCTGCTGTGGAGCTTGCAGCAGTCTTTATTCCCTGCTCCTATCCAGTTGTAATGTTCTCAACCGTGTCCACAGCTTGGAGGAACTCCTGAAGATGGCCAAAGACGACTCCACAGTTCGTTGTTTCCAGGGCCTGCTGATTTTTGGAAATGTGATTATCGGTGTAAGTAATGAGTATTTTCCAGGAAATTCTGCTCTTTCTGTAATTATGATTTTAGATCCAACAAAAGTGAAACTTTAAAGGAAAATAGTGAGATAGTGACTGATTCCCTTCATCTTTTCTCCCTTTTAAGAAATGTATCAGTAAAACATGCTACCTAGAATTTAGCAATATAAATAATCTTATATAACTATGTCATAGGGCTTCCCTGGTGGCTCAGTGGTAAAGAATCTGCCTGCAGTGCAGGAGATGCAGAAGACTTGAGTTCGATCCCTGCAGTTGGGAAGATCCCTTGGAGAAGGGCATGGCACCCCACTCCAGTATTTTTGCATGGAGAATCCCATGGACAGAGGAGCCTGGTGGGCTATAGTCCACAGAGTAGCAATGAGTCGGACATGACTGAAGCGACTTAGCATGCACGCAACTATGTAATATATCAAAACACTATGTGGAATAAGAGAGATATTTTCCTCCGAGCTTTAAACACCAGAATCTAAAAGGAGCTTTGCCTACCATGGTTAGCATCCAAGTATCCTCAACACACACACGGTGGTGTCTTTCCTTTCCCACCTTGGTTTGATTTCCGTGGGCTCCGCTACTGGGGACAGGTGTCTGCATCTTCCTGTTCACACTGGAGGCCAGGACTGGGATGTGAGAGTAGCTCAGAGGCCAGGCTGCATGGGCACAGTGAGGTGAGAGCTCTTAGGAGTCAAGATCACTGGCTCTGGGCCCAGCCCTGCCTGACTCTGGACAAGTCATTGTCTTTCTGGGCCAAGACCCTTCATCTATAAAATCAAGGGAGCAGGAGAGATAACCACCAAGGTTCCTTCCTCCTCCAACACTGCCTGGTTCTCTGGCACTGATACACACGACCAGGACCAGTTTAAGTGTTTATTACAGTACAGGAATTAGGGTGGTGGGCAGCGGGAATGGAAGTGAGAGACGATCGTCCTACAAGAAGTCATTGTTCGAGTGGTGCATGCCCCCAAGAGTTTTATGGATGGTCTGAAATTGTCTAGGTCTCCTCCCAAAGCCTAAGGTAGAGAGAAATGTGGAAGGAGGCATGAAACCAATTCACAGGATGGAAGGAGCTGCTTGGTTGCCTGCAGTGAGTTTAAGTCAGCTGCTTACAGCCTATGCAGCCTGTGCAGGGGCTGCCCCCCCTCACATCCCTTTCCCAACGCTGCTCTCCTGGCCACCAGCCTGACAGAACCCCCTCTGCCCACAGATGTGTGGCATCGCCCTGATGGCAGAGTGCATCTTCTTTGTATCAGACCAAAACAGCCTCTACCCACTGCTTGAAGCCACCAACAATGACGACATCTACGCGGCAGCCTGGATTGGCATGTTTGTTGGCATCTGCCTCTTCTGCCTCTCTGTCCTGGGCATTGTAGGCATCATGAAGTCCAACAGGAAAATTCTTCTGGTGGTAAGACCTGAAAACTCTGTACACTTCTTTCCTTTACCAATGGATGGACTGCTTCTTCTCCCCTGAGCACAATGCTTTGGTTTTCAGTGGGGTAGGTGGAAGCAGGTGCCAGGTGAGGGGTGACTAGAGGGTAAGACCCTCCCTGCATGTGGGGGCAAGGATGCTCTCCTCTATCACAATTCCAGGAAAGTCCGGTACAGGGAGGTTGAAGGGGAGACACCGGGGGGGNTGGGGTAGGTGGAAGCAGGTGCCAGGTGAGGGGTGACTAGAGGGTAAGACCCTCCCTGCATGTGGGGGCAAGGATGCTCTCCTCTATCACAATTCCAGGAAAGTCCGGTACAGGGAGGTTGAAGGGGAGACACCGGGGGGGTCACTGGCTAAGTACATTTTAGATCTTGGCTTCTCTGACTGGTGTCTGCATGTGTCCAGCAGATACAGCCAGGAGCTACACAGCCTGAAGGAGAGACAAAGTGAGAACTTGATGATCAGATTTTTTTTCTCCTGAGAACAAATAGTTTAAAATCTTATTATTATCAAGTGTTAATATATTAGGATATAAATCACAAAATATGCATAAAGTTTTAAGAGAAAGCATGAGCCTCCTTAGACATTTTTAGCTCAAGGCTGATGATTTTGTGGAATGGCCTACACTTCCCATCTCGTGCATTCACTCTGCTTTTTAGGGACCCTGGAAACACTTGCTGGGCTCCAGGTAGAGATGAGTTTTAGCTCCCACCTGCCTATGAAGGCTCTAATTCTGGGCACCCATAGGGAGGTTTCTGCCCCAAACTGCAGACAGCAGGTTGTGCCCTGACTTTGCAGGTGGAAGCAGATTTTCAGCCAGCCGGGCTAAGGACCCTCGGTACTAGGTCTAAACTTCCACTCCCTCTACCCATGTTCAGGACAGCAGTTTCTCACCCCAAGATGGGGCTCCACTTCCTACCCAGAACTATCTCCCCTAACCAAAGGCTGCAGGACCTGAGTTCCATCTTCATGGAATGAGTCCAGCAAGCTAAGGTGCCTGCTGGTTTGCTTTTCCTGTGGACTAACATCACGCTGGTACCCAAGGAATGTAGAATATTTACATTCTCTGGGTCCTTAGTGTGAGTTAGTCCCAGGGCAAAAGCACCCACCTTTTCAGGGTGGGGAAAGGAATGCAGGGAAAGGTGTCCTTAGAGGTGAGCTTCAGTCGCAGCCTGGTCTCACTGAGCCAGTCGTGTGTGCACGGCACAGCTGGGAACACCCTTGGCCATGCCTGGCAAGGAGACCGAGCCATGCACCCTCCATGTGACTGGAGGAAAAACACCCGCACCCTGTGTCTCCTTTCTGGAGCATCTCTAAGGGGGTTCTGAGCCTTTTTAAGGGGAGCAAGCAAAGCTCTCGACAAATAGCAAGGCAACAACTATTACAGTGGGGGACACTGTCATGACGCCTCTGAAGGGGCTCCTGCTGTTAGCTGGGAGTGAACAGTAGCCAAAGCCTTTTCCTGGGCTGGCTGAGGTCCAGCTCTGAGAACCCATCGCCCCTGCCCACGTAGGAAGAACGGTTCCCTCTGCGCCCCTCCCCAGAAGAACCCGAGGACAGTAAGATTGTGCAAGGCTAAGGACGGCAAAGTAGGCCCTGGCCCATATTCAGAAGTCATTTGTCCTTCAGTTCGTCTCCAGCTACAAACAGGGGCAGTGCGCTGTGGAGGCATCATGAGCATACACACACCCCACCACACACACACACACACACACACACAACAAAACACACAATATGCTGTTTTACTCAACTGACTTGATGCAACTAGGGTGGGAGTAGGTGAGAGAAGGTGCTATCAGAGAAGATACATCAGTGGGTATATCAGACACTAGGTAGAGCCTGTTCCTCTCTGATAAGACTGGACATTGTCAGGAGGCAGGATGGATATTAAACATGGCCCTATTCAGCTTTTTGTGACCCCATAATCCTAAATCTTCAGTAAACCATAAAGATGTTCCCCAAAGAGAGGGAAGTTAGGAGGCTCTACCTAGTGTCTGATACACTAAGACTGTCTTGTCAGCCATTGAATGAACACACAGAAACACCAGTTCATTATCTTGTATGTTTTTTCCCCAGTTTAAATGGAAATGCAAGGTGCTGAACTGAGAAAGCTCTGTGTTCAACAGTCTTATATTCTCTGGGGAAAGAAGGGACTTGAGCTGATTAGAACCTAGCACCAAATCTGGCTCCAATCACTGATCAGTGAGGGTTTGTTGAATAATTGTGTAAATGATTACATAATTATATTTAGGCAAATGTGCTACAGAAAACATAATAATTATTTGTTTTTAAAAACTCTTTGGAGGTAGACATAATTTTTTAATTCCATTTGTTTCCTTTCCAGTATTTCATCCTGATGTTTATTGTATATGCTTTTGAAGTGGCATCTTGTATCACAGCAGCAACACAACGAGACTTTGTGAGTACAGCCTCCAAAAGTGGACAGAAACGACTGTATGAATCATCATTACCATGATAACAATACAATAACTGACATGCATTAAGCCCTTACCCTGCACCAGGCATTGTAATATGCACATTAGTAACAAATACATAATTTTTCTCCTCATGATAACCCTCTGAAATAGGCATTAACACTACTGTCATTTTATAGATAAAAATAAAATGAGACTTAAAAAGTAATTTGTCCAAAGTTACGCAGCTGGTAAATGAAAGAGAGGAATCCTGAGTCCAGGCCATGTCCAGGGCCTAAGCTTGCACTGCCATGCCCTTCACCACTCTGCCGCAGCCACGGGCCTTCCACCAGGATGATCAGTAATCCACTGTATCTAAGACATCTTCCTAATTCAGCATCCTGCTTTCTTTCCTTTCTCAGTTCCCTGACTTAGATCACCCTCCAATGCCTGTCCACCCGGGTTTCACTGGGATGTGTTTGGAGATGGGAGTCTTCTCCCCACACAGGCACTTCAGCCTCCTGGAACAACCTCACACCCAATCCCAACCCCCACCCCAGCCTCTGAGCTCAGTTTTATTTAGGAGATAATGTTCAGCGCCCCCAGCCACAGGCTAAGCATCACTTTGCCTCCTTGAGGATTAATATGCTAACTCTTCCTCTTGTGTTGCCTCTTCGCACCATAGTTCACACCCAACCTCTTCCTGAAGCAGATGCTGGAGAGATACCAAAACAACAGTCCTCCAAACAATGATGACCAATGGAAAAACAATGGAGTCACCAAGACCTGGGACAGACTCATGCTCCAGGTAATACCTGCTGGGGAGATTCTATTTTGTATCTAAACCAGTATCCAAGGGTGTATGGGTGGTTAGGAGTGAAGTCAAAGTATGGGAACCACAACCTCCGAAGGGGCTTCCTTCAAAAAAGACTTGAGAGACTTCCCTGGCATTCCAGTGGTTAAGACTCCACCTTGCAATGTGTGGGCTTCCCTGGTGGTTCAGACGGTAAAGAATCTGCCTGCAGTGCAGGAGACCTGGTAAAAAATGTAGATTACTCATATGCTCCGCTTCTTAGAACTCAGGTATCACTTACTAAGAAAATGTTGCCTCCGCCCCACAGTGAACTCAAGTGGAAATTATCTATCTTGCTTACTGAGTGCCTTTTCACATCTGTGGGCTAGTCCTATTCTAGACTTGATCACCCAGTTTTTTCTAACTGGCAATCATAATCTTATATCCAAAGTTACCTCAAATACCATCAAAAGTACAAGTCTTGCAGAATACCCATTATTATACCCACATGGCTATAAGAATGTACATATTTACCTCCTGTATACGCCCTTATCTGACCCAACTCTGTACAGCCCTGTCCCCCTTCCCAACCAACTACCAATGTTTCCCAGTACATCATCAGCAAACTCCTTATATATAGCCTTCACCCCTTCTTTGAACTCTCTTCACACTCTATCTTCTAAAATTTCCTTCATTTAGTCTAATATTCCTGTTCTGTAGTTTTTTAGCCCATTACAACCTCCAGTGTCTTGGTCACTTTCTCATTTCCTATCACTATTCTGACTAGAGGTTAAGTATTTTTTTCCCCCACTCAATTAGCAAAGAACTCAGCTTTTTAAATGAAAATGTGAATGGTCACACATTTGAAAGATCCACTTACCAACTTTTTAAAGTCTAGTCTGAAACAAGTCTGGTTCAAATTTAACCATTTCTCCTCAAAATTCTCACGTCAAATTACAGAATATCTTTGGTGAGATTTTTTCCATAATCCAGTGCCAAGACAGGATATGCTTTTTTTTTTTCTGTTGAGAAGTCTTTTAATTTTAAGATTTCTTTAACAAATAGAAACATCATTAATAATTTTCAGACTTATTGATTTACCTCAGTAGTTAACCAGACTTTGCATCTTATACCCCTAACAGATTCCACTGTGAATCCCTCTGAATTTTAGGTTGTCAAACATCTCTCCTATGTGCAGTCATAAACTGCTCATCCTATAAACCTATATTTGCCTCGACTAAGATAAAAAATACAATATATTAAGATTGAAATTATACCTGTAATATACCCAAAACAACTATTGCTATTAAAGTTTTATCAATAATTTAAACATTTCAAATAACTGATAATTAGCCTTAATATTAAATAGTGTGATTTGGAGATGGTTCTTTTTTTTTTCAAATCCAAATTTATTTATTTATTTTTTCATTTATTTATATTAGTTGGAGGCTAATTACTTTACAATATTGTAGTGGTTTTTGCCATACATTGATATGAATCAGCCATGGATTTACATGTGTATGCTTTTAAGGTAGCTGCTTTCTCACCAAGTTTGCTGAATATATTTGTCCTAAAAAGTTGAGAGATGGCATAGTTTTAATTCCTTCCCTTGAAACATTTTTGCAGATTTTATAAAAAGGAAGGAAGGTGATATGAAATGTGTTTTATCCTCTATCCTCAATTCTATCCAGAGTGACATGAGCTATGTATTAAGTGATCTTTCTTTCCTATGTAGAGGCATAACCATGTGCCACTAGGTTTGGTTGTTTTTTTCTAGTTTATTTCACCCATTGTAAAAATAATACATAATTGCTCCAGAAAAAGTTTTTAAAAAATAGAAAAGTAAAACAAGAAGAATTTCTCATAATTTCTTCACCACAAAAATTTTAATTTTCTGATTTTCAGTTTGCTCATATGTAACATGAGAATAATTATAACTCTCTCATCTTATTGTATCAAGATACTAAAAATGATTAACATTTATTAAAGGTTTACTAGGGGCCAGGGACTGTGTAAACACATTAAAGGTATTAGCTGATTTAATCTTCACAAGCTTATGAATTAGGTGCTCCATCTGTCCCAGTTTTGCAGTTAAGGAAAATGAGGCTTGGAAAGTTTAACTTGCCAAAGGCTACAGAGCTCATTAATGGCTAGTAAAGTAGTAAATATAAATGTATTTTGCAAACTCTAAAGTGGAATACCTTAAAAATACCATCAGCTTTCATTTGCAGATTTTTAGTAAACAGTAAATAGAATACACTTTCCATCTCTTCTTTCTCCACGAAATCTCAGTTGTTACATTGGTGATTTTGTCAAGGATCATGGAAGAGAATTTTGTATCTTGTGTGCTGACAGGACAATTGCTGTGGTGTAAATGGCCCATCAGACTGGCAGAAATACACCTCCGCCTTCCGGACTGAGAACAGTGATGCCGACTACCCCTGGCCTCGTCAGTGCTGTGTTATGAACAACCTTAAAGAACCTCTCAACCTGGACGCCTGCAAACTAGGAGTACCTGGATACTACCACAATCAGGTGAGTCCTTGTTCCACCCAAGACCTGCCAGAAGGTTTATCTGTTTTTCATGAAGAAAATACTAGTTAACTGTAGGTAATAGTCTCTCATTAAGGAATTCTGCATCCTTTTTTCTAAACCTCATGTTAACTATTTCCTTCTCTGTTAATAAGATGTAAATGCTAATCCAGGGCTGATCTAGGAAAATTTACATTTTAATGAAATGAACAGAACATGAGAACTGCAATAGCAAAATCCAATTTATTTAAATGAAAACTATTTATACAATGCATAGGATTAGTATTTTGAAAAAATATTTGCATCAAACAAAGATTTGCTCTATTTTTGCAGAACGTAAATTGAAAGAGATGACATACAAAAGGAACATTTTGCCAGTTCCAAAGCAATGGCGATTGCTGAGGGTAGATGCAGTAATGATGCATCCCCTTCCTTATTTAGTGGTAAGCTAGGATAGTCTTCCCGAAACATTCGATTGGTGATTTGGGTAAAAGGTGGTTTACATACAATTGTTTTTTGAAAAAGCGTTTCCAGCCTGATGAGAATGATACAATAATCATGAAAACTAACATTTACTGAGTACTTATCAAAATCCAGACACTGTCCCAAGTGCCATACAGATATTAATTCACTTAAGGCTCAGCAGGTAGTGCCACTTCGATCCCTATTTTACAGAAGAGGAACTAAGATATAGAGATACTAATAAGTGCCTTGCCCAAGTCATGCGACTGGTAGGTAGAAGAGTCAGGACTCAAATGCTAACAGGCTGGCAGCAGAGCCCAGACTCTAAGCCAAGAAGGAACTTGGTGATCATCCCAAAGAGCCCTGAAGAGAATCCTCGTACACTTGAAGTCAGCCTCTAAAATGCTTACACTGCTGTGCCAGTTACCACTTCGAGCAAAGCTAGTTGTGTGCCAGTACTTTAAGTAATTGAGAAATGCCTGAGTATTCAGTCTCAGAAGAAATAATATAATACGTACTTTCAGAATGAAGGACAAAGCAGCGCTGGTCATCATGCCTCCCCTCCTCACCACCCTCCCCCCGGCCCCTGCCTCTGGAAGGGCACCTGGACTAGAATTGGTTGCATTACCCCAGAAAAAGACATGGGAATGATACAGATTATGTTGTAGAGTTGTTCAAAGAAACTCTCACTTAGCCTTTCAGCAACATTGTTTTGGTATCATTTTAATTATATTCAGACTGCTAAAAAAAATTAATGTATTGCCTATAATCACAATATGCAATATCATGATCACTTTGAAGAATGATAAAATTCTTTTAACATTTCAACCTTGGAACTAGCCCATGCAGATGTATCTGATTGGACTATAATTCCATACACATTGATCATGTCTTTGAAAGAGACCAAAAAGGATGTTTGCCATCAAAAAATTGACTTATTTCCTAGTCACACCATTTTCCCTTACACATAGAATATTCTAGTAATGAGGGAACTCTACACTCCTTTTGATACTTTTGTCTCACCCTCCCTAACAGTCCTTGGCCTTACTACCTCCTCCACCAACTAGCTACACCACAACTATAAATTCACATCACTCAATCATGCTCTCGCACCCTGCATTCTGAAATTCCTCTGTCTGACTCCCTGTGCTCCTACTTTCTCAATCCCCCTCACTCACCCCTGACTAACTCTCTTATCTACATTTTCCTCCTGATTCTCCCTACTCTGATCGCCCAGATTCCCACACACCACCACTCTATCCAAGTGACAGGTCCTGCTAATTCTCCTCTAGCACTCTCTTTCCACAAAGTAAAGTATGTCACCCCAGTACCTCATATCAGTTCAGTTCAGTCGCTCATTCATGTCTGACTCTTTGCGACCCCATGAACCGCAGCACGCCAGGACTCCCTGTCCATCACCAACTCCCAGAGTCAACCCAAACCCATGTCCATTGAGTCGGTGATGCCATCCAACCATCTTATCCTCTGTCGTCCCCCTCTTCTCCCGTCCTCAATCCTTCCCATCATCAGGGCCCTTTCAAATGAGTCAGCTCTTCGCATCAGGTGGCCAAAGTATTGGAGTTTCAGCTTCAACATCAGTCCTTCCAATGAACACCCAGGACTGATCTCCTTTAGGATGGACTGGTTGGATCTCCTTGCAGTCCAAGGGACTCTCAAGAGTCTTCTCCAACACCACAGTTCAAAAGCATCAATTCTTCGGTGCTCAGTTTTTTATAGTCCAACTCTCACATCCATACATGACTACTGGAAAAACCATAGCCTTGACTAGACAGACTTTGGAAGGCGAAGTGATCTGACATGTTTTACTAGGACCCCTCTGGCACTGTATGAAAACTAGTAGGGTACCAAGGGTGGACTTGGGCCTCAGGGAAACCAGCGAGGAGGAGACTGTGGGAACCCTGGAGTGAGGCCATGGTGGACCAAGGTGATAGTAGGAAGTAATACATGTTTGGATTTGAAGTGTATTTTAAATCCAAACAGATGTGCTTAAGAGAAAAACAATTAAGGATAATCTACCATGTTCCATTCTTCCTAACCAGGTGCCCACTTTGCACCAGGCACTTGTTCTAGGTTCTAGAGATTCAATAAAGAGCAAGATAAAGTCCATGCCCTCATAGAGCTTGCACTGTAGTATAGGAGACAGACCACAAACAAGCTACCAAACCAATACACAATCAACTCCAGGGAGTGGTAAGTGCTATGAGCAGAAATAAAGCAGGATAAAGATATAGAAGATGATGGGGAGATAGTTATTTTTCTCTGGTTGTCAGGAAAGACTTTATTAAGATACTTGCACAGAGTTCTGAATTAAGTGAGGAAAGGAGACCCTCAATTAAAAAAAATTGAAGAGAGTTCTGAACAAAGGAAGTAGCAAGTGAAAAGGCCCTAAGGTGAGGGCTCTCAAGGCAATCCATTGGGCAAGGCCAGAACAAGTAAAGAACAGTAGGAGTGAAGAAGGTAGATTTCTTAGGGCCTAAAGCTTTTCAGATTTGTGGAGAGGTATTCTTTGGAAAAACAATTTAAATGTTTTCACATACTCTGAATACAAAATTAGGTACAGGGCTTTGAAACGGTCTTGCAACTAAGGAACCCTGAGCCCCAGCTTTGCAGTAGGACAGCCTCTGCTAGCAGTGGCTGGGGCCACAGACAGAGGCAGGGCTGTTTCCTACAGCACCTCATAGGCCATCATGAAGACTCAGAATTTCATCTTAAGGTGGTAGGAAACCTTCAGAGGGTTCTGAGCAGGAAGGCGAAGTGATCTGACATGTTTTACTAGGACCCCTCTGGCACTGTATGAAAACTAGTAGGGTACCAAGGGTGGACTTGGGCCTCAGGGAAACCAGCGAGGAGGAGACTGTGGGAACCCTGGAGTGAGGCCATGGTGGACCAAGGTGATAGTAGGAAGTAATACATGTTTGGATTTGAAGTGTATTTTAAATCCAAACAGATGTGCTTAAGAGAAAAACAATTAAGGATAATTCCAAGACTCATCTGAGCATCAGGGTGAATGGAAGGGTCAGGTAGATGGAGTAGGGTAAATGAAGAGAAATCAAGGCATATATAGCAAAGCCAGGGCGTGGGAGTGGCTGAACAAGAGACTGGGGCGGGGTCAGAAAGGACAGAACTTCAAGTGACCAACAGTAGACACTGGGCAGGGCATAAACTTCAAGGTCGGCCTTTCAGAGATATTTCTCTCTGGATCTCAGTGGTTCATAAAACCAATCTGGTCACTGCATCTCCTAGGCATTTCTGTGATTTCAAGGGCTTTAGCAGAGGTCACTCAGATGGCAGGTCTAGCCCTATGCCTGTGTATTAGTCCAGCATTTTGCATGGAGACTAGGACAGAATGCGCTATGTATAAAACTAACCAGATTATGGCATGCATGAATGAATGAATGACTCAATGAGTAAAAAATGAATCACTCTTTCGCGCACACACACGACGGCTCTTCTAGAATCCTGTAAAGATATGTTAAGTACAATGTCAAATGAGAATTCAGAAAGCACTGTATAGGAGTTCCTCTAATGATTAAAAAATAAAACCTAATTCTCATTAACTAGAAGCACTTTTATTGAAAAACAAATCAAAAAGTGACTCTGCCTTCAAAAAATCACCAATAAAATCTTTAGGGAGAGAAAAAAACCTCAATTTTATTAAAAATACTTTACATTGCCACATATTCAATATGAAAATGTTTTGCTAAAATAGCAGCACCTTTGTTAGTTAGATCGAATGAAAAGAAACAGAAATAATATGATATAGAATAGTTGTTCATCAAGATTATTCCTATTTCTTCAGTACAGCATAGTTAATACCTGGCTGTCCACGGGGATATAGAAATAGCCTGGTCGTGTTAAACTGGACTTTGGGCTGGCGTTGATTCATATCACCTTCCCACCATCTTTTACCTCTTTTTTCTGGTCCCTTTCATGTGGATGTGGAATCGCCCACTCCTCTCCAGGGCTGCTATGAGCTGATCTCTGGACCAATGAACCGACATGCCTGGGGAGTTGCGTGGTTTGGATTTGCCATTCTCTGTTGGACTGTGAGTATTTCCCATCGCATGTTTTATTTCTGAGAGGATAGTGATGAGGAGAGACCTCAAGACTGTCCCTGGTTAACTCAACCACACTAGACTGTCTAGAAACAAAAGCTCAAACCTGGGAGCTTGTCAGCAGGGTTGCTGGCACCAGGGGAAGGACAGTGGATTTCCAGGGGGAGGTAGGCTTGAACCTCCCCTACCAACCAGGTTCTTCTCTGGCTGACGGGTGCACTTGGGTTTTCTCCATCTCCCTAGATCTTATAAATTCATTACAAGTAGATATCAAAGACAGTCATTTCTCTAGATGCCTCCTGGCCAGTTCTCACCTGCCTCCCTCCTTACAAAGGGCTGACCTTCACCAGTCTCCCCAGGTCTTTCTGCCCACTTTATTTGATCCACACGCAGCCAGGAGGGTATAACAGTGGGTCTCAGTCCTAACTGCACATTAAAACCTCATGGAGGAGCCAGAGGGGAGCATACCTGAGCCCCAACCTCTGAGATTCAGATTTCAGTTGATTTAGGGGCAAGACCCAGGTCTTTTGTTTTTTTTTTTTAATTTTCCATATGATTTTAATTTGCTGTCAGGATTAAGACCCATTGCATTCAGAAAGCAGTCTCAAACTTTTGGTTTCAGAACGCATTTTCACTTTCTCAAAAATTACTGAGGACTCCAAAAAGATTTTTATCTATGAGGGAAATTAACCAACTAACCCTGTTACAAATTAACACAGAATTTTTAAAAATGTGTTAATTCATTTAAAATAACAATAACAAACTATTACATGTTACTATGAACAATATATTTCTGTGGGAAAAAAAGACTATTTTCTCAAACAAAAAGAAAGCAAGAAAAGTAGCATTCGTTTTTTTACATTTTTGGAAGTCTCTTCAATGTCTGGCTTTTACTGAAGACAGTTGGCTTCCCATATTTCATCTTCATTTAATCTGTTATGTTGCTTACATTGAAAGATTTGAAGGAGATCCATCCTACACACTGATATGTAGTTGAAAAAAAAAAGAGGAATATTTTGGTAACCTTATCTGAAAATAACTGAATATTCTTCTTTGGCACTACATAAAACTGGTCAAGTAGTAGTAGTTTCTTAAAGGTTAGTTGCAATATGGAATCTGAAACTTCATCAAAGAACTTTTAGGGCTCTGTTACATTAAAGTACATTACATTGATGTGTCTTGCAATTTGCACAAATCTTTTACCCATTCATGAATGGTCATTTGGGAAAATACTGGTTCACTGTGTGACAGCATAAGCTTCCATGGTGGCTCAGTCGGTAAAGAATCCACCTGCAATGCATGTAACAGGATGGACTCAGTCACCTCTGCCTCTGTGATGCTTAAGGCAAGATTCTTCTTAAAAATCCAGTGTCACCTAAGCTTGAATGAACCTAACATAATTTTCCCCCCAACTACAATGTTTCTAGAACAATTCCTTATTTATTTTTCTTTTTCTTGTATTCTAGTTCTGGGTTCTCCTGGGTACCATGTTCTACTGGAGCAGAATTGACTATTAAGAATGAAGTGCACCCACCATACCATTCCCCACAATGACTTTGGATTTGGTGCTGGAAATGCTCTCTCCTAATGTTCTACCTTTGTGATGCCCGGGAACTTAGGCATTCTTCCTCAAATTGCCAATTCAGTTGGTAGGGAGTTCCTTTAGGCTCTCAGACTCCTGAAATTTTCAGCACATGTGTTTTCACCCTGATCTAGGAGTTTGCAGCATTGTTATAGACTGTAGGAAAGGGAGGATTTGGGATAGTAGATAATAACTATTCCCATCTTTGTTTATTTTTAATGTGGGGGCCTAAAGACATTTCTAGGAACCTGTGTTATACTGCAAGCCAAGTCTGTATTGGGACAGCAAATCTGCCTGCATTTCTCACTGCTTTCTAAAAGTACCCTTCAAAGGCTTTCATTGTGTCAGTATAGTCCCAGTGAGAGAACTAAGGAGAAGATTGCTGAAACATATCTTTTGCCTTTGTCCTATGGTGGCTCTCACCTACAGACTCAAGTGATTCTCTTAAAGCTAGCTTGGGAACCCTTTATTATCCAAGACAAGGCCTGATCTTGAGCAAACAGTGGTTGAAATTTCCTCTCAGACACTGCAGAGTGATTCATGCTGGTAACCTCAATTCTCCCACTAATTAAAAGTATGTGAACTTTTGGGACAAAGGAGAGACCTGTTACTTTTTTTTACATTTTTGGAAGTCTCTTCAATGTCTGGCTTTTACTGAAGACAGTTGGCTTCCCATATTTCATCTTCATTTAATCTGTTATGTTGCTTACATTGAAAGATTTGAAGGAGATCCATCCTACACACTGATATGTAGTTGAAAAAAAAAAGAGGAATATTTTGGTAACCTTATCTGAAAATAACTGAATATTCTTCTTTGGCACTACATAAAACTGGTCAAGTAGTAGTAGTTTCTTAAAGGTTAGTTGCAATATGGAATCTGAAACTTCATCAAAGAACTTTTAGGGCTCTGTTACATTAAAGTACATTACATTGATGTGTCTTGCAATTTGCACAAATCTTTTACCCATTCATGAATGGTCATTTGGGAAAATACTGGTTCACTGTGTGACAGCATAAGCTTCCATGGTGGCTCAGTCGGTAAAGAATCCACCTGCAATGCATGTAACAGGATGGACTCAGTCACCTCTGCCTCTGTGATGCTTAAGGCAAGATTCTTCTTAAAAATCCAGTGTCACCTAAGCTTGAATGAACCTAACATAATTTTCCCCCCAACTACAATGTTTCTAGAACAATTCCTTATTTATTTTTCTTTTTCTTGTATTCTAGTTCTGGGTTCTCCTGGGTACCATGTTCTACTGGAGCAGAATTGACTATTAAGAATGAAGTGCACCCACCATACCATTCCCCACAATGACTTTGGATTTGGTGCTGGAAATGCTCTCTCCTAATGTTCTACCTTTGTGCTGCCCGGGAACTTAGGCATTCTTCCTCAAATTGCCAAGTCAGTTGGTAGGGAGTTCCTTTAGGCTCTCAGACTCCTGAAATTTTCAGCACATGTGTTTTCACCCTGATCTAGGAGTTTGCAGCATTGTTATAGACTGTAGGAAAGGGAGGATTTGGGATAGTAGATAATAACTATTCCCATCTTTGTTTATTTTTAATGTGGGGGCCTAAAGACATTTCTAGGAACCTGTGTTATACTGCAAGCCAAGTCTGTATTGGGACAGCAAATCTGCCTGCATTTCTCACTGCTTTCTAAAAGTACCCTTCAAAGGCTTTCATTGTGTCAGTATAGTCCCAGTGAGAGAACTAAGGAGAAGATTGCTGAAACATATCTTTTGCCTTTGTCCTATGGTGGCTCTCACCTACAGACTCAAGTGATTCTCTTAAAGCTAGCTTGGGAACCCTTTATTATCCAAGACAAGGCCTGATCTTGAGCAAACAGTGGTTGAAATTTCCTCTCAGACACTGCAGAGTGATTCATGCTGGTAACCTCAATTCTCCCACTAATTAAAAGTATGTGAACTTTTGGGACAAAGGAGAGACCTGTTACGTATTTACCACCTTCAACCTAAAACTGCTTTCCAACAGGGAAGAAGCAAGTCAGCTGTTATTTAGGTGGTTTAGGGTGATTTGTGCACTGCAAAATATCTTTCTTCTGATATGTTACTTTTGTGATCCTGAAGGAATTTCTTGTAACAACATTTGTCTTTATATAAATAAAGAGGGTTTTAAATATGTTCACTTCCTTTTCTTTTCAGCACTGTCATAATTGGTCATGTATGAGTCTAGCAAAATGGGTTTTCCAACAGAAGAGCTTAGGAGGCTCACGGGAATTAAAGTTTAGCAGATGGAAAATGCAGTAAGGTGTGGCTTCCGGTGGATACTGGGTAATCTGACTGTACATTTAAATGGTTGGAACTTCCAAGTTTCTGTTAACGTTTTGCTCCCGCTACACTTCACCCAGAAGTGGGAATGGGGCTGCTGCTCCTCAAATCCTTTCCCCCTGCATCTCTGACTCCAACTGCTCAGCCGCACCCTCCATGAAGAAAATGTACCTGGCATTTCAGGTACTTCCATGCAATAGCCAGGTCCCAGGCCTTGACCTTTCTTGTGCATCAGACTGAGCCCCAGGGCAGGGAGGGACAAAGTGGGGGGGGGGGGGGGAATGGCACCTTGGCCTGCACCTGGGTGGTAAGGCTGGAGGAGGACCCTATTCCCCCGGACAGGGGTCAAAGGCTCCTGTTACGACACACCACCAGCTTGCCCCTCCCCGGCCTCACTCGCCTCTCCAGGATAGAGCTTGGTGTGTCAAGATAAATGACACCTGCACATGGCTGAGAAGTTTCTCTGTGGTCTTTTTGAAGAAAGGAAGAGAAAGAAGCTTTCTGGGCAAAGCTTTGAAGCGCCTCTCCCACCTCCCTTTCCATCCTCTCTCATGTGTTCCGGTGTCTTTTTGTTTTGCCGCTAACTGGATTTCCCAGTGCCCTCAAGCCTGAGCAAATCCTGTCTCGGACCCACTCCTGCCTTCCATCTCAAAGGCTTCAGAGCTCTTTCCCGACAAAATTCCATTCTCCTTGTGACTTGATCTCAGCTGGGTTAAGGGAAAGCGNATTTCCCAGTGCCCTCAAGCCTGAGCAAATCCTGTCTCGGACCCACTCCTGCCTTCCATCTCAAAGGCTTCAGAGCTCTTTCCCGACAAAATTCCATTCTCCTTGTGACTTGATCTCAGCTGGGTTAAGGGAAAGCGTTTTTGTAAACTAATTCATACTAAAGTGTGAGTGACAGCTAGCCTATACTCTCTTAATCTTCTCTGTAGACTTTTCCTGAATAACTGAGATGGATCTTCACTGGTAGAATCCAGTTCAGGAATGCGAGCTGGAAAGGGCTATTGTGGAGGAAGATGGCCCGCTGGCTGCTCGTTAAATTTTACCCCCTGCCTTCTCCATCAGGAAGTAACTAGAAGAAGAATGGGCTTCAGTTGGTCACTACCCACCAACCCCTCTCCAGATAGCCTCCTACCACGTAAGACCCTGAGCCCAGGTAACCAATGTGTTCAGCCCCTGTTGGGGAGGACACATCTTTCAGCTGAGACAGACCCGGGCCTGAGGGCTTCCCTGCAGAGGGTCCAGCCATTCAGGACTCCGAACTTCCTGCTACTGGGTTCTGTAGTTTAACCTCAGAGCAGCTCCTCTACCCAGTTCCTGCGTCCACCCTCTCCACCTGCCCAGGAAGCCAAGCCCTACCCCTCTTCCTTCTGGGATGGAAGTGGGGCTCACAGCAAGACCCAAGCCACACTGTTCAGGGGGCCCCCAGACCCAGCCTTGTGAAGGCCCCCACCCACCCCACCGGTCCAGGGAGAGGGACGACAGCAGGAGAGCTGGGCTCTGGATTGCTGGCTGGAGACACACGCAGACAAAACCATCTTGAGAAACCTCCCGCTTCAACAGGCCTGCTCCTCGGGTGGGTGAAGAACAATTACCACCAGCCTGACACTGAAAATCTGTCAAGCTGACCTTGGGGTAGGTCTTACCCAATTGCAATACTGGATGGGTCATCACGCTCCTTGGTTGGCTGTCTCCTCCCAGACTGTTACTGAGGCTTCTGGCAGGCTGTTCACCCTGAACATTAGGAAGCTCATTTTTTTTTTAGCACTGTAAGTTTTTCCCACATCAGCTGGAATAAACAGGGACTGCTCCTAAGCTACGCAGCAGACCAGGTAGTTTCTGGATACCCATAAAGGAAAGAAGAAATAGCAACAGTCATATGGGTTTGAAAGTTGAATCTCCTCTTAACCTCCTCTTAACCTCACTCCAATTCCTACCCCCACCAGACTGACCGACAAGCCAGGCTGTGGTTGAGGAATTGGAAGCTGAGCTGCTTTCTCATTTCTATAGAATGAACAGTCTCCACTCTCCTGTGCCTAGTTTCTCTTCTCTGCTCCACCTCACTCAGATCCTTATCACCTCCTGTATGTGAGACTCAATCAAAGAAGAAACGAAGAGGGAATTCCCTGGCAGCCTGGTGGTTAGAACTCACTCTTTCACTGCAGGGGGCCCAAGTTTGATCCCTGGCTGAGGGAACAAAGATCCTACATGCTACACAATGTGGCCAAAAAATTAAAAATTGTAAAAATTTTAAAAGAAAGAAGAAACACAGAGGAGACTAGTTGTGAGCTACTGAGTTTGCTTTCACATGTGACATTTTTATCACAAAGCTTGAATGGCCACATCTACTGAGTACATCCAAAACATCTTGGAAAAAGACACATTGCTGAGAAATGTATAACTACCAGACCCCTTCCCAAACCACCCTCCCCGGAGACCCCAAACAACTCCAAAAACAGATGCAAATACCTTCTTTAAATAAGATAAATTGCAAACTCCTGGGGTTAGACAGAAGGTTGTTGCCATGTCCTACTTTCTAGTGGTATCCATCCACCCTGAGTCTCTCTCAAAAAAGAAAGTCCCTGACTTCCAGAAGCCAGCCTGGCACTCACTACCACACCTTGCTATTCTTCTGCTAGACCTAAACAATTCACAGAATATCAGCTTCAGATAATCTCTCATGAAATGAGACAAATCAAGGCCACTTCATAATTCTGTCCAAGCACAAAGATAAGGTCACTGTGCCACTCACAAAATGCCAAACACACCCTTTTTTGGCTAAAATAAGTGACTGCTACGTGTTTATAATTACAGCTCTATTCTTCCACTAGTCCTTCCCTGTGGGTAAAATGTGTTGATACACAATCATAGAACTGCCCCTGCTTTCTGAGAACGTCCACTACAAAGCACGTCCGGCTGGCTTAAACCCTCCCCAAATGACCCACCCCAAACCCAAATGCTCTGATAAGACTGGGTCTGACTCCCTTTTCCTGAGACACCTCGAGGTTCCCCATGGTGTGTTCTCGAGAGCTTTTGCAATGAGTCAGAATCCCACTTACTTATCTGCAGTTGTGTCCCTGGGCTTCTTTAGATAGACAGTCTCCAAATAACTCTGCCTATCCTTATTTCCTCTCTCTGTGTATTTGTTGTTTTGTTACCATGAAGTGGTGAAGAACACGAGCCTTGGAGTCAAAAAAACCTGACACCCAACCCCAGCACTTCATGACTCTGGCAAGTCAGCCTCTTAAAACCTGCTTCAGAAAGACAGGTCTCACGGGGGACTGGGAGGATTCAGCAAGAAGTATGTGTTTGAACA